CTGTCACTTACATGTCAGTTTGGCTGCAGAAATAATATCCGCAATTCCCATTGGTAAATCACGTGCAACATGCCCACATGGTATTTTTCAGTTTATACTTGCTGTTTAGCACCTAGAATGATAACTGAGGCCCATAAAGCGCCTGTGAAAAAAATACTAAAACTCTAAAAAACACATTGCTTGTAAGGCTGGTTTCTGGGCTGAGTAACCATGGCAATGTACAGGGCTTTTTTATGACTGCCGGGATGCTATTATGTTAATATAGTGAGGTCAGGGTGCACAAAGCCCCGCAGGCTGCAGAGGTGCACCATTGGATTGATTGATGATTCTGCTGTCACTTTTATCTGTGAAATACATTAGATATTCGACAAGAGGGAAAGGACTGCCAGTCTTATGCTCGGATACATTACTGTCCCCATCTTTTATAAATATATCTTTTTAGGGAAAGTATTAATATTGCACTTTATTGTTTTTTTTTATTTTTATTTTTTTACAAATTTTGTTGCAAGTGTCCATGACTAATTGGACAGAAGCTGTGAGTGAGTGTTTTTAATTAAAATACAAATGGCACTAACACTAATTAACAATAGCTCCTTACTATTTTTCCAGTAATTACAAATCTCGGTCAACTCTTGTACGCAGACTTTTCCTTAGACCCCAAACTATAATTATCTTGCTGTTTAGACTAGGTATCTATAACTGAGCACCATTGAGGGACCATTCTCTGGGTTGGTTCTCAATAAATAACACACATGACCCAGAAAACCAAGTAATTTTGGGTTGAGGGGGGGATGGAAGAGGATGTTATGGAAGGCTGCTGTATAATCTGTCCTTTCTGTGAATTCCATTATCTGAATGTATTAACTTCAGTGGCACATGATTAGCAGCTCGTGCCAACGTCTTGCCATTGATTCATGCTCAGTGGGTCTGTGCCGCCTGAGCAGATGCAGCAGCAGATGCAGAGTTTTCCATCTCTGTGAAAAAGACTAAATGTTGCTCTCACGTTTGCCACTTCACAAACAGTAGGCTAGGCAAGGCGAGGCAACTTTTTTTGTATATCACAATTTGTACACAAAGTCATTCAAAGTGCTTGACAGAATAAGAAAGACATTCAAATCACAATCAAAACAAATAGAAATATAACATGTCTGAGCCACAGGAAGCCAGTGCAGAGACCTTAAGACTTGAGCTGCAGCATTCTGTCTTACAGCTCATTTGGAGAGGCCAGTGAGCAGGCCATTACAGTAGTAACCTACTGGAGATAAATTCATGAATAAGTCTGTCCAAGTCCGGATTAGACAATATACCTTTTGATTTTTGCTATGTTTTTAGATGGTATAAAGCTACAGATGCTGTTGATGTGGTTGTTAAAGTTCAAGTCTGAGTCCATTATTACCCCTAGATTTCTAGCCTGATTTGAAGGCTTTAGAGAGAGAGACTGGTGGCGACTGCTGACTTTCTCTTTGTTTCTGTGGGCCAATGACTATGACTTCTGCCTTGTTTGAGTTTAGCTGGAGAAAGCTGTTTTGTATCCACACACTGATCTGTTGGATGTAGTGGCAGAGTGAGTCCACTGGTCCATATTCAGCTGTTGTTAGCGAGACATGCATTTGAGTTGTGTCTGTATAGTTGTAGTAGGACACATTATTGCTGCGTATTAGCTGGCCCTTGACTATGCTTCCAAAGGAGGAGATTTATAAAGCAAGTGTGGTGAGACTATGAAGGCCAGTCGGCACCAGTTAGACAGCAGTATGCCTCAATTTAAATAGTGGTATGCCAATGGTATGCCAAGAGAACATCATAGTGTAAATATAGCTTTTGTGAGTCAATGTTAAACTGAGAGATGAACGTGGAGGATAAATTACTTTCACTTAAATTCTCTTGCATAACAGAAACAAGACTGAGACTTTGCTTGCATCAGTGTTCAGGCAGATGTCATTTGTCACTTTAATAAGAGCAGTCTCGAGGCTGTGGTGGGGTCTGGGAAACATAAAAAGAGTTGTTTATTTGGAGAAAGTTAGTAAGCTGTTGGTAAACAGTTTTTTAAAGGTGCATCTTGGGAGACGCTTGGTGAGCGCATTTTTCAAAGCGCTTGGGAATGTTCCAGATTGAAGTGACATGTTAACTACGCAAGCAAGGAGTGATAGCAAACTGTTCAGCACAGACTGGACAGAGTGGGGAAACATTAGTGCAGCACGTGACTCAGTCCGGTGACTGATCAGTTGGACAGCTTTGTCAGTTACAGGTGCAAAGTGAGTTAGCTCTGTATCCAAGTGTCTGCAGGGTTCTTATTTGTGTTGTGGAGTTGATGGCACTTTTAATGCCCTGAACCTTTGAAAGATGAGGGGTTTAAGTAAGATTTCTCTCCACTTGATGCATTTCACATAACATCACAATATTAAGAAATCATTGAAGAAACATAAGAGAGAGAGAGCACAGTGCAGAAGTAGTTCAGTTCCATCAGGCCAAAGTACAGGTCATATCTGTGGAGAAGCGAGAGACCTCACAGTAGGATTGCATGATTGTCAAGCTTTTATCTACTTAGAGACAGAGCAGGTTTGCAAAAATGAACGAAAAAAGTCAGGAGGGGTGAATACATTGATCTCTATTGTTATGCAGAAAATTTACATAACTGGTTATTATTTTGGTTGGAATACTTTTTTGTTTTGTCACTTTAAATGATCGGGTTGAAGTAGCAGGGAATTTTCCAATCTTTCCTTTTCATGTTTTACACAAGGAACATGTCAGACTGGCGAGACTTTGACTAGATAATATGTGGCATTAAAAATACAAAGGACAAGTTAAAATATTTATGAATACTGCCTTGGTAAGAAAGAGATAAGAGTGCACGACTGATTCCTTGAATGGGAAAATGTACATCCTCTATAGGTCACTTCCTATCCTTGAGAAGCACTCATAAAAGTTGCATTGTGGGTTTTTCATTGTTTCACATCTATCTATAATAGAATAAGACCTTGGACTGCAAGTTACTGAACCCTGCAGACTCTCTTATCACAGGTAAATGTTAGGTTGCAATCTTCCCATCCAAAAATCTAATAAACTCCCAGACTCTCTGAATTTTGGCTTTTTGCACACCAAGCAACTTTTGTTTTCAAATTTTGCTTTGTTGGCGGGCAGCTCAAGAAAAAATAAAAAAGTAAAAAGATACAGAAAAAAACCTCAACAATCAGTGAGCCGTTAAGGTCATGCAGCCTCAGCAAATAAAGCCATAATGTGAGCGAGAGTGAAGGGCCGATAAAGAGGAAACAGGGTGCACGAGGCAGATAGGGAGTGAATTAGGGAGTGAAGAAAGAAGTGCAGAAAAGGGAGGTAGATAGAAAGGGAGTGATAGCCGGAGATAGTGGGCGAAGATGGACAGATAGAGTAGTGCCTTTTGGCTAGTGTGCGTATCTGCTGCCACCAATGACTCTGAGCTCGCACAAACATGGAGTCCACCGGTGCTGCTTATCTGGCCCCTTTCTGTCTCTGTCACTTGCATCTGTCACCATGACGATGCACACTCCAGTGCTCAACCACATCTGCTTTTATCACTGTTTGGTCAGTACCTCTCGGCACTCTCCTGCAGCTTCACCTTCATTCTAACTCCTCTTTATCGTTCACTTAATCTTGTTTTCTATTTCTCTGTAAGGCTGCTGGGCAAAATTATCTTTTTTTTATCATGGGTAGTGGTAGAGTAGCTAACACTTTTGGAACTCAGGGTGTGATTTGAATAATTGTGCATGAAGTTTTTCAAGTTTTCTCCTGGTACTTTTGCACCGTGAATTTTAATCTTCTCAAAATAATCAGTTGATTTGACTTTGTTTCTCTTTGTGTCAGAACTGCAAAGGGACCACAACCTTTAACACCTTTATAGTTGGGTGAAGTTGAGGCTCTTCTTGTTAATGTATCAGAATCTAGTTACACAGTTTCCAGCAGAAAACATTAAAAACTTATTAAAACATAGAAGCGATTTTTATACTGTGGCTTTGCGAAGGTAGTACTTTAGTAAGTGTCAAGTGATCAGTCAAGGACCCTTGATGTCGCTTGTGGAGAAACTGGAACAAAGTTGTATTATACATTTGAGAGTAGAATCTACTGTTTAGAATTAACTGCTCTTGAAGCCCACATGGAGGTGGACCTAGTTAAGGTGGCACCAGCATCTGAACACTGAATGCTTTTGGGCATGTCCTAGCCTAAGCCACTGTGGGCAAGTTACTTCAAAATGTGTTATGTATTACTTGTTACTGTCATTCATTACATTACAAGATTACTGCATTTAAAATGTAATGCTATTGCATTACTTTTAAGTTACTCTCACCAAAATAACTAAGATGCCAAACTTTTGACACTGAACCATGACTAAACCAGGACTGAACTGAGGACTGAACCAGGAGGACTTAACCAGGCCTAAATTAGGTCTAAACCAGAATTAAACCAGAATTAAACCAGGATTAAACCAGGATTAAACCAGGACTAAATCAGGTCTAAACCATGACTAAACTAGGACTAAACCAGGACTAAACCAAGTCCAAACCAGGACTAAACCAGAACTAAACCAAGACAAACTGGACGCACACAATGGCATTTCACTGCTGCTGATATTGCTGGGATTTTAGCGAATTTGTATGAGGAAAATTGAAAAACCCACCACTTTAATCCAGGTGCATTTTAATACTCACTACTGACATTTGTACTGAGTAAAATATTACTTTTTTTTTTTTTTCTCCTGTAATGCCTTACATTACTGCGTTACAGCAAAAAGCAGAGCATTACAGTAATTTGTTACTTTTATAATGTGTTACTTCCAACACTGGCCTACGCAGAGGTTCATTTGTTTCCACCAATAGTTATTATTTTGCTTTGAACTCAAATACATCGGATCCATCCTCAAAAAAGTACTTTACTGAAATAAAGTACTATGTTTTTTGTTGTTTGTTTTTTTTACTGAATTTGAATAGAAATGTATTTGAATCTAATGTATATTCTTCTCTTTTCCCCAGATGACACAGGAGCAGTACATCCTGGCAGCACAGCCCAACCCCCTTCACCAGCGGGGGGCGTCAGTGTGCGGGACACAGGTGTACCCTACAGTGGGCATCTACGGCTGGAGGAAAAGGTGCTTATACTTCTTCATCCTGCTCCTCCTCGTCACCATGATCGTCAACCTGGCCCTGACCATCTGGATCCTCAAAGTCATGAACTTCACTCCGGTAAGACAGCCATGTTGGAGAGTGTGTCCACGGGCGGGTTGTAAAAGTGTCAGTCTAAAATACTGCTCAGTGTTTATGTGGGGTTTTATGTGAGAAAGATGTGAGATGTGCTTTTAGAGGCTCCCAGTAATGCAATGCAACACGGGAGCCATAATTAAAAACACAGCGGTTGAGGCGAGTGCGTGGGTGTGTGTAAACAGGGCACAATTTGAATTAATTTTGTTCCTAGGGTGTGAAGATTTACCCAGAATTCCTCTTTTTTTTTAAATATTTACTGCCGTATGTGATAGAGCCATGTCTCTTTGATTCTACTTTAAGGATTTGGACAACATCATGGTGGAAGATTTTGTAATTTGTGACTGATGTTTCTCGAAAAATATGTTTTCAGGAAGTCAACTGTACTATTTAGTCTAAAAATGTTGTTTTGGTTGCTTTAAAATAATCTAAGACTTACGGAAGAAATTTTGAAACATGCACCTCCTATCATGATCTAAAACTGTCTGAAATATTGACAGCTGAATGTCCTTTTTCTAATACCTAAGCTTGAGCCTTTTTAGTCTTATAAAGAATACAGGCTTGTCGGGTGTGATGACATTTCTCTGAAGATGAAACACGTGCATGTGTACTCAGATAGCTACCACTTGCAGAGTTCCAAGTTGAGTCAGAAATTGCTATTTTGACTCTGTTGAGTTTTGAAGCTCAGATTGTCCCTTTCCATCTTTCGTTTAGAAGAGAAATATTGCAAGTAATTGGTTTTCTCATTTGAAGTTTCTTTGGGATGCTGCATTGCTGTTACTTTTGGAGATTTTGACTGCCTTCCCATTTTCTATTCTGACTGATTACCACCACTGCTTTACTAAGCCCTTTTTAGAAGAGTGTTTTGCAAAAGGCAGTCTTAGAGAATAGTAGATAAATACAGTGACTGTGAAGTGACTGAAGGAATGAACCACCTGAGAATAGGTATTTTCAATGGAAATTCCAGTGGTGTGACTGTTGCTAAAAGGCATGTTATGTTATTTTAAACTAGATATATAGTTGACTCACACTGATGTATTTACTCCAACTGCTATGGCAAAGCAAAAACAGTAGTGTATTTATGCCTTTATGTGTCAAGTTTGTAGATATTCATAGTTCATGTATATTTAAATGGACATAGCTAACCCACTAGCTGCCACGTTCCTAATAGGAAGTGAACATAGCGGCACTTCCAGCTCCATTGACTCCAATTGACTTTACATTGAAAATTGTTAACCAAATCTTCACTCAGTGGTGGCAAGCAAATTTCATAACCACAGCAGGGCAGGCAGACAGAGATATGACTGCCGTTTTGTGCCATTGGCCTCTCACTCACATTCAAAATTTGCAAGAGAGATGAAGCATATTGCTCAATGGCTCAACAGTAGCATATTGGTAAGTTGATATTATACTGTTAAAGAGCTCAGATTCTGCTATTTTCTGAACTATCCTGTAATGTTGTTCCTTGTTACAAACATACCTGGAGTTGTGTTTTGTTTCATTCTCATATCTTTAATGCACACATCCTGCATATGTAGGCTGAGTTCTTCTCTCTCACTCTTCACTCTGTTCCACCTTGTGATGTCATGTGGTAATACATGAAGTTCTTGACTGTCTTTTTAAACTCCATACACTTTCTATAGAATAAAGTGGAAGATTTCAGCCTTGGAATTGTCAATCTCTACTGAACAAAAGGTAAAAAGTAGCTGTTGACTTGAAAACTACCAGTCCATGACATCACAAGGTGGAACAGAGCATTTTGCGCTTTGGAGATGTAGACAGAAGGTTACTCAAACATGCGTGACTGAAACAAAACACAACTCCAGGTATGTTTTTGATGAGGTCATTATAACATGGCTTGAAGGTCACAAGAGTCAATTTTGCATAATATAGGAGCTTTAAAATTTCAGTGATAAAATGACCACTAAGAATATTAGAGATTACTTCTAATCCTAAAATGATCTACTTCCATCTTTTGTAGTAGTTGTTGACTAATGAATACAGTTTTTGATCATGATAGAAACTGCACATAAAGGGAGAAGCAGCGATGGAACCTATTTTGAAAGCTGACACCTCTCTCCTCTTTACGACACATCTCTTTCTGAGCATATCACTCTCAGGTTACTGCTCCCATATACTTCCTCCTATACCCCGCCTCAGGCCCAAGGACGGTGGCTGTGATCATATATATGCACATGAGGATAGTTTGACCCTCACAAACCTCCTGTAAAGCAGCCCCACGTCAGGCCTTATGTTTCAATAAAAGACGAGCAGAGAGAAGAGTGGCAGAGAAGAGACGGCTAAAGACAGTGCCTGAGGGGACCGGCAACATCAGGTTTAAAAGAGCTCCATGCATTTCACAGGCACCGGACACTATGTGCTAAACAGATCAGAGCTAAAAGGGAGAATTCTTGTAACCAGAAAAGGAAGGCAGCTGGAGAAGTGAAGAGTTATTTGTTGGTTTCCTAAATCTGTTATGAATAATATGAATAAAAATGCGTATATTTTGGGGAATGGAATGATTCTCAGTCTTACTTTAGGAATTCAAATTAGACATCGGGCCTCTAAATTAAATATAGTGGGAGACTTTAATTTATTTTCTAAGAATTAAAAATACAACAAAAATACAAATGAGTGTATTATTTTAGAAAATTGTATGCTTCTTTAGAAAAATTGTTGGGAGAAGGGCAGCTTTGTCAAAATATTGTTTCATATTTTTGACTTCAGGCTAGCTATCATTAATTTGTTAATATTTTACACAATACTCCTGTTCAAATTTAGATGTAAACAAGCATAAGAGTTTGTGGTGCCCTGGTAAAACAATAGAATACAATAAATCAAGATAATGAGTCATCATTTTGGCAATGTGACCACTGTAAAATAAAATGCATCTATTTTGTAAACCTTTTTTGCTCCATGATTAGGAAGGTATTTTAAGATGGAAATGAAGAGTGAATATTTGTATGTAAAAATGAGCATACTGATTTTAAAGTATGGAAAAGCAGGTCCATCCATCCATTTTGTTCAGCTTTATCAGGGGCCTGGTTGTGTAGGCAGTATTCTCATAGTAGCATAATCTACAATTGAAGAAATAAGAGGAAATACTGGACAAATAAGGGGGGTATTGTGTAGCTTAGAGATGCAGTGATTTTGGACATGGGTTCAAAAGTTGTATATGCCGTTGGAGGAAGGGTTGATCTGGTTCAGCGAGCATTTGTCTTTGCAGTGTAAGGAGAGTGTGTGACTATTCAAGCAGAACTGTCCTCTGAGAAATGTGTTGGCTTTTTTTAAAGATCAACTCACCATATGAAATTAATATGCGTTATTTACGCACAGTGAAGGGACGTAACAGAGAAAAGTACTGAAATACTGTACTCAATATTAGGGATGGGCATGATTAGTCGATTAATCGATAATAGATCATTAAGAATTTCATCGATTGCGTTCATTTTAATCGACAAACCGAATGTAGGTTGCTGTGTGTAGCGTGACCAAACAGGGGTCCATACATGTAGCTCTCTGCACTCAGGAGCGAGCAGACACAAACAGTTGGTCAGCCTGCAACACGCCGAAACGCAAATGCTTTCCGTTCCGGTCGGGATAAGTGTTAGGCCATGTGCACAGTGTACAAAGCAGCACATATGTTTCGGTGTCCAGTGGGAAAAAGCTCACAAGCACACCAAAAACATGAAAAAGCTTTGCCAGGTGAGAGTAGCGCAATGTCGATGACGAGTCCCCCCCCCACCCCCCGTACGGTGTCCTGGTTTTGACAAATGCAAATATGGTCACACTAACCTGTATTCCACTGAGTCGTGTCCTTTAATCCGACAGAAGTTGACCGCATTAGCGACACAAGAGCTGTTTTTTTTCCTTCGCTTAGTTTATGCAAATTAGCCATGCGGTTTTAAGTTTCGTTTCTGTGAGAGTTGCACAAAGCTGCATTAAACACATTATAATGTCAAACGGGCTGTTGTGGCCCTAGACTGGTTAAGGTTTATATGTCGCAAAGTTGAATTTATTTATGCAGATTAGTAGTGCAGATAGTAATAATATTGATGATAAATTTGAATATAAAAAACTTTAATGATTAATCGATAATTGATCGTTAATTCTCCCGACGATCGATTAAGAAAATTTAATCGAATGCCCATCCCTACTCAACATACATTTTAGGTATCTGTGCTTAAGTGCATTTTAAAGTTGATACTTTTATATGACTTCATTACATTTGAGAGTAGGTATCTGTACTTTCTACTCCCTTCTGAAAAGGCAGAGGGGATTATTCTTAACAAGTTCATAGTCTGAGCAAACAAAAATATACAAACAAAAACAGCTAAAAAATATATCAATTCTAGTGTTTCTGTCGAACCAAATTCAGCACAAATCTTTAACAAAATCACTACATTTGCAGCCTTATAAGATCTCAAAATCTGCTTGAAATACTTTTACTGTTTGCTGTTTCAGTACATTTTTACCCTGGTACTTGAATACTTTTACTTAAGTAGATTTTTCATGTGATACTTTTACATGAGTATTTTTTATTTATTTATTTTTTTGCTCTAGTATCTATACTTTTACTTAAGTAACAAAACTGAGTACTTCTTCCACCATTGCTCACAGATCAAAATAGTCACCTTTGAGAGGGATTTCTATTGCAATGTGATGGCTTTGTGATGCAATGGATTGTGCATTTGAGTTCCAATTCAAGTCCTGATCAATTTTCCATTATTCCCACACAGACATTATTCCCATGCTGAAACACACCTTCAAAGAATATGGTTACACAAGTGCAGCAAAACTTACCACTGTCAAAAATCTCACGTCACATTTGCATTTCAAAGCGTATTAACAGCCAAGCCTCACTGTTAAGTAGCAAATTAAGTGTAAACCTAGAGTGAAAAGAATTGGAATGCTGCTGTTCACTGAAATGCTGATGTTTCAACCAGAGAGATGTTAAGTATCCATAATCAATAAGCTATTAGCAT